ATTTTGGTGAAGCTATTTTGTAGGTCTCAATATTTTCATTAACTGACAATGGTTATTCATACTATCTTTATTTTGTTGGATGATTTGTACTAATCTCTTTGTGCATATTGGAATGCCTATTTTATGCAGGCTCAAACCTTGAAGAGGAATATAAGCCAGTTTTCGGGTTATGTTTGGGTTGAAAATGAGGTAATTTATCATCTAGCTTTTACTACTTTTAGTATTTGAAAGAGCATTTAATGATTATATAATGTATTTCAACTATGAGTTGTAACATGGCGTCAATTGAATAGTCTTGACTTTCAATTTTGTAGCTGTATATGTATTTACTTTTTGGTTCATGTGTTCTTGGCAGGAAAAACAAAGATCAAAGGTAAAGGAGAAGCTCGAAAAGTGCTTCAAAGAAAAATTGGTGGATTTTTGTGATGTGCTAAATATCCCAATAAACAAGACCACTGTAAAAAAGGCAAGAATTTATGAGCCAATAGTTAAAGCATGTATTGGATAATTGTTCTGTCTCAAACTAACTTCTTTGGTCCTGTCTTCAGGAGGAACTTTCAGCAAAGTTATTAGATTTTTTGGAGTCACCACATGCTACAACTGATGTTTTGCTTTCTGACAAGGATCAGGTTTTACTCTATCATTGTTATTTTGTGTATCATTAATTGTTAGCTTGTTAAAGGTTTGTTGTCTGTCTACATTTTCAGAAAGGCAAAAAGAGACGGAGGGCCAGTTCAGGCAAGACAGTTGGTTCTGGGGAATCTGCAGAAGTGCCCGCTAAGGTGTTCACTCTTTTGTTTATAGGGTCTTATTTGGACACTCTTTCATGGCATTGATTTTTTTTTTTTTTTCATTTCTACTTTGAGTCTGACCTTGAAATTTCCAAATAGTTCAATTGCAACTTAGAATATTGAATCCCCGGCATGTGTTTGGGTTTTAGAATACAAATATCCACAAGTTGATAGTAGGTTATAGTTTGTTCTAATTCAAATGTGTGATTTTGTTTGGTAAAGAATACAATATACAAACGTGATATATTTGAAATGAAGAAGCTCCTACCCAGAAAGAAACTATCACAACAAGACTTTTCAATTCCTATTAATCATGAAAAGGCTGTAATTACAAGAGAAATCTTTGTGGTTCGAAGTCCAAGGTCTACTAGTTTGTGTCTAACCTTTTCCTTGCTGTTAATTGAAAATCTTTTTGTTACTTTCCCTCTAGAAACAAAAATCTCAGCCTACAAAGAAGAGAAAACATACGCCTGAAATGGAGGAAGAAGAGGATGATAAAGTTGAAACCTCAAACGAGAAGGATGGTCCTCATGATGGGGATGGTGATGTGATTGTATCGAAAGAAGAAATTGATGAAAAAGACAAGTCAGATGAGGATGATAAGACACCAGAGAAAATGGCTAGTCCAAAGAAGTCATCTAAGAAGGCTGGAAGAGATGGTTCTGGGTCTAAATCTGTTGAAAAAACTTCTTCTACAAAGAAATCTGCTGCAAAATCTGCTAAAGCTGCTACAAAATCAACAAAAAAATCATCTAATTTGACTTCAAACAAAGTTGATGCTGGCAAATCTGCTATCTCTCCATCAAAGCCGAAGGCCACATCAAAAAAGCAGAAAGTTGAGGAAAAGAAGCCTATTAAGGAAAAATCTTCGGGCAAGAAACAAACAAGCAAGGCCCCTGCAAAGGTTTTGGTTGAAGAACGCGGTAAAATTCCTTGCCACTAATCATTTCTGCTTTGTTGTGGTCATTCAATTCGTAATCTCTCGTCTTTTTTTTTTTTTTTTTCTT